CACGTACACTCCCACTCGCTTGCACCAGACTCAAAACTAAACCTGTTTTCCAGAAATGATGGCAGGTAAGCATGCATTCTATTTATTTTAAGATACTATTAATAATTGGGTTTCTAGTATAAAACCAGCAATTAAGAACAAATGATACCACATCTAATATTAACTACCTTCCATTTAAAGAACTAGTGATACTACAATAGCACGTACTTTCTCGCATTACCTCGAACTTCTGCAATTTTAGAAAATTCAGATTGTCCAACGAAAATGAGTCCTGTCCCATTTTTATAGTCCCTTGTTCTAGTAGAAAATTTTTAAGAAAAAATTGGGATAAATTGATTTTTCTTTTAATTTGTATTATATTCAAGCAGAAATTTCGGGAAAACTACTCGTTCTTTAAAAAATTACATTGTACACCAAATTACAAAATTACATTGTCAGACCTTTTTTTAAATATCTGACTTATTGTAAACGATTTCACTGAAGACAAAAATTTACATCTTCAACTTTGTAGTTTTGCGGTGTTAACGTTTTGCAATTTTCGAGAATAAGAATTCGTCAGAAATGGTACAAGCACTAGTATTTTACATGTTCTTCGATACACACGAGACAAAAATTTTAATAAAAAATTTGAAGTCAATTTTGAGAAAATAATAGCTTAAAAATTTCCAAAATTTTACAAAAACTACTCATTTTTGAAAAATTGAACATGCCCTTGTTTCAAGATCATTGAGAGACGGATTTAATTAAAAAACAAAATTGTATCTTCAATATTATAGTTGTAGGAAGACGCCGAAATAATTCTGAAACCTTGTAGTTTTCGAACTTTTGGAGATTTCAACCAAAATGAGACCCGTGCAATTATTCTTATGCGCGTCCTTTACGTTATAAGAGAACTACGTTTAATCAAAAAATATGGAGACATTTTTAGAAACGTTTTAAATATAATTGTAACGTCATGTACAGTACCCCCAAAATTAAAATATCCGATTCCAATTTACAATTACTGTGCAGAGGCAAAGAGTCTATGGCTCGCTGGGAAGACAAATGTGAATCCAAAATCAGACTTTCCACTTGAGATTTATGACTAGCCGAACGAGGGGATTTTTGTACAACGTCAATACACCCATTTGTTTGAAATCCGGTCTTCTCAACACGTGATGCACTGCCGCATTTGACATTTGAGGTACGCTCTTCAAGATGAGAAACTAAATTGGAGGAGCTGATTTGGAATATGAAATTCCTATCTTACATCCTGAAAACGGAATTGATAGTAAATATGTAAAACACTTCCAAACATTTAACAGTGGAGATTTTTATATTACCTAAATACACACACTATTAAAGCATTGTTTTTACACATATCACAAATTTCACTTTCATAATAGTAAATATTTGTTACTCTCAAAAGTGGTTCACCGAATCTGGGCAGTTCTACACGCATTTATTTTAAAAGAAACAATAAATGGTCTTAAATAAATCCGTGTCCGAGAGCTTCGGCAAAAATGGAACGTTGTTATTTTATCTATAAATGTTCACTAAAGATAATCTTTTAATACAATTGCATAATAACATCCATACTACTATATAATTCAACATTTGCAGCACGTACGTTAATTAGTTATTATGAAACGATCACGGCAGTGGAGTGTTAAAGAACTTTGACTTCATTGGCTAATCTTGTTTTTCCTATGAATATAATTAATGTGGTACATCTTTGCATACGCTATCGACAGATATAACCCATTACACTTACGTACGTTAATTAGTAATTATGAAAAAATCACGACTGTGGAAAGATTAAGAACTTTGAATCCGTTGACTAACCTAGTTTTTTCTATGAATATAAATAATGCATTGCATCTGTGCATACGATATCGACAAATATAATCCACGACACTTGCACTCTATCGTTCAACAAAACAAACAGCAAAGTACAGTAGGTCACGAGCTGTCAGATACCACTGACAGTTTAAAAAACCATTAAGAGAAGAACCAGTAAGAGAAGAAATAAGTAATATGACCTCTATTGATTACTTTAAATGTAATTCCTAAAAGTTTCACGACTTACTTTAATGTCCGCAGCGTCCAGTTACTAATCACGGTTGGGTTAACGCCTTAGCAGACCAAGCTCATGCTAAAGGCCCCGACCGATTAGATGCTCCGAATAAAACAACAAATCATGTGAACAAACTTTTATGTAAGGTATTCAATATGTGAACCTATTGTTATACTCACTTTTTACCGTAAACAGAGTTTATTTTAATTTTCATCTTATTGTTCATTGATTTTATTTTAATAATTACACATGTCCAATATTTGAATGTTATAAAGGTGCCGCATAGTTTGATAATGCTTAGGACTTCTTAATATATTATTTTGACTCTCACCAAACCAATTGGAACGAGCTTATTTACGAATAATCGAATTGCATGCTTTCGCAATTGAGGTCGATGATCAGTTCACTCACGTTTCGATACATTTTAGCTAACATATTACACTGAAAAGTTGCTATCATTTTGATCTTGTATTTCAAGTCAATGTTTAGATGATAAAAAGAAACAAAATATATTTCCATTGGAAAATGTGGGTAATCCAACGCTGGCAACAGAGTCAGAAATGAAAAACAAAATCCACTCACAGGAAAGACCGGAATTCACAATATTTTGTCACATCTGTAAAATTAAGGTGAAAAGGAAAGTACAGGCAAACCTGAAGACATTTTTTCCGCTGCAAAATACACAAAACCACAATTCATGACATCAATGCGAAAAGGAATCATCAACTGCCAGCTCGCAAAATAAATTGCTGGCTACTGGAAACTTTTGGCTTGGTCCTTTTTTGATCCCAATGCTTCAATGCGCTAGTCTGAACACTATGAAGGTTGCATAACATCTGCATTTTTCATTACATTATTGTAAAGAACACGTAAGGCCAGTTCTGTCGAAGTTACGAATATCTGACCACACGTAAGTGGTAGTGCCGGCAAGACACGGCTAGTCTCCGGCCTTCATACTTTGCTATTTAATAAACATCATGTCTGTGCAGCGCAATGTTGCCGCATATTATTCCAACTTACACGTACACCCACCAACACATACACACGTACTACGTTCGAATCGCCGCTATTTGTACACTACTTTTCATGAGTTAAACCAACCATGTAGAAGTAACTCCTACACTTTGGTCGTACCACCCGTAGGGAGAATGAAAATATTGTGGCCTAATTTCTATCTGCTCTGCGCACGACCAGCACGTAGACAAGCCCAAAGGCAGAGTGGGATGAAAGAAATAAGTTCGCTGAAGAGTAAAATCGGTAAGTGAACAGCACGTTGGTAAAGAATTAGAGCTCACATTTTAAATAACGTATACTCGTAAAACCTCACACCAGAGGTAGAAAGTGGCCGCGGACCTTGTACTGGGGAAGAGTTGATTACATATCCATTTGCATGCGTATGGTTCTTCCCATTTTTTCGAGGTTATGAATTAATACGGAAATTAATACGACATTTTGTAATCCTTTAGGTTCTCTCGCAATGTTTCGCAATTGCCATAATTGCCATAATACATGTGTCCGGGGAGGAAACGTCGAAACTTCGCAAATAAGATCTTAAGATAATTTTAAGAAGATTTTGCCTAATAAACTAGGTGGATATTCCAATTAATATATATAATGTCCTAGAATACATTTTACATACTTCAAGACCATCGAAATCGCGATTATCGTCATTCTAGAGGGTCGAATGAAGATAATCACTATTGCCAATAAATATGGGGTGGTAAATAAACATGTGGTGAAAATAAATGTGTGGTTACACGAAGGTACTCGTGTAATACCTACGCCTGACAAGTAACTCTCCTTGCACTGGTGTTTGCCAGATGCACGAAATCTCTTTGACTGTGGCAGTAGTAGTTTCTGATATTAAGTCCCATTTTTATATTAATTCATAGTAAATATAAATTCATTACGGACTGATTATTCATTGGGAAAACGGTCACATTAGCACATACTGCATTTGTACATACTACAATGCGCGATTTCTACGAACTCGAGCTGACGTTTTGCCACGCGCTGGCAAGCCAGAATTCGGCGAACTCGCCCATGGTTTCAACCACCTGGAAAGATGAGCCCTCGCCGAGAATTTCAGTACATTTCCAATTCACTGATTTGATTAGGCAAATAGTTCCCACATCCAATCTTAAACAATCGCTTGCTCCCGCGTAGGCACGCAATAAGAGCTTCCTGTGTTTTTAAGACCTCCGTTTGGAGTGAATGTTACTGGACGTGAAGTAAAATTCTTGGCATTCATGCCATTTGACGTCCTGTTCAGAACAATTACGACCATTTCACAGCTGTACGTGTCACCTTTATATTTTTTTTATTTGTTACAGTGCGGTAGTCGCCAAAGTACATAAATTAATATATCTCGAAACGAGAGAAACGAGTTACAAGCTGCGAACTATGACTTCGTCTCCGCGGGCTGTAACATCGCGACTTAAGTGTTGGACACATCTTGCGTCTTGCAAGGTTTGGAATACAAAACATATATCTCAGTAATGATAATCTCTGTGGTGAATTTCCAGACTTGCATGCCTGGGTGAGCGCCCATTCCACGAATCTGCAAAATACCTGCATCTCTGACCGCCCCTCTGCATGCAAACTGCAAGTCTGGCAACTCACTTCCAGCGTCACATCTTCATTCTTCATCTGCAAGATCATCGCCGTAAAGTGTAATGTGTGTTGTTTTTTTGAAGTAGCCCTGTTGCAACAATTGTGCATAATGTTCTTTCATGTTAATTACATATACGTTTGCGTAAGTGTTGTACGAAGGATGACGCAACCTCTGTTCCATTATAACCTGCCCTACTGAGGGTCTTAGCTAGAGTGGACAATACTAATTTTTCGTCCAGTCCACGCTTGTTTTATCATCCGCCCAACGCTGCACAGTGGGAAAAGTACCTCTAATGCTCAGAAATGGTTTCAAAGCCAGGGGGGGGCGTACCTGGTCGGTGGCGCGTGAGGATGCGCTGCACCTCGCCGGCCTCGCTGCCGGACTCGGACTCAGAGTGGTAGTGCAGGTGCGGCGGCAGGTGCAGCAGCGGGCGCAGGGGCGCGGGCTCGAGGTGCTGACGCGTGGGCGGCTGCGGGGCCGGGCCGTTGCGCGTGGGCCACGCGACCGCGCCCGCGCCCGCGCCCAGCCGCTGCTCGCCGCCCGTGAAGCTGACGCGCTTGGGCGCCGCGCCCTCCGCCGCCCCGCCCTCCGCCGGCGCCGGCGCCGCCACCAGGCTGCCGCGCTTGAAGATGGGCTTGTGGCGCAGCTGCAACACAGCGCGCCCAATGCGTCACACGTCGCCGCTGCAGCTCGCTCGTAGCAAAGCATTGGTTTAAGTGGAGGGCTTCCCACGTGTGCCGGGTTTGTGCTGCTGTAGCGTTCGGAGGCGGTCTTCCGCTACCACCACCGCGGAAGGGCGTACGCGCCACCGCCAGCAGAACACGTAGGTCGGACTCACGAACCCTCCCTCTTCCGCAGCGGGCTTTATCGGAAGCGCGCGGTAGAGGCGACGTCAGAAGGGGAGGAGCGGACCAGGGGAGCCACCCAGTGGTGCCACCGAGAAGCGGCGGAGCCCTTCAGACGCAGCCACCGCCCAGCGGCACACACCGCGAGAGACGAAGGATTCGTGAGTCACACCGCTATGGACTCCGGCGGCCGAAAGACACCCAGAAATAAAAATCGGTTCGATGGCGCGTCCCAGTGATCTAGTTGAAGGGTGACATTTATAACTGTGCCACAGCAGCTCGACTACGCCACTCGTGTGCATACCTCCACTTAAACCAATGCTTTGTCAGCAGACGTGCCTGTCGCAAGCACTGTGCTGAGAGGGACGTCGTGAACTTTTTGTACGCTGTAAAGTGAGCTAGCTAGTAGTATTTACTCTTTACGGATTCCTCAATTATAGTGCATGTAAATGTAATACGTATAAATGTAAGTATGTGTACGCAAGGAGAGAAGAGGCAATAAGAGGGAAGGAAAAATCGCCTGCTGTTTGTGGCCCGTTTGTTATGGTCTGCTCCTGTATCCGTCTGGTGTTGATGGGAAAAACCACAGATAACTACTGATCGGAATAGCCGGGCTGCAACCCCATATGATAATGATGTTGCGACTGAGCTATCGCAGCCAATTTATACATTTTGAAATAGGGCTGATGAATATATATATATATATATATATATATATATATATATATATATATAGTGCTGATAACATAC